ACTGGGGCTCCCAGTGGTGAGCTGTCCCTCAGGTGTCCTGCTGAGGGCTCTGGTGACGTGGGTGTGTGCAGTGTGAAAATCCACCCACTGCAGATGCAGTACAGTTGGAAAGTCTGAGGGCACATGGCTGTCATCTCCACTGTGGAAGGCCAGGTTTTTAAGCTCTTTCTAGCAGCAGATATTTTCCCCTCAGGCAGAATTGGTGGAGGGATTCCAGTGGTGGGGGAGCACACCTGGGCAGGAGCAGGCATAGAAGTGGGGCTGCTGGGGACCAGCAGATGGCGTAATGGTTATGTCTCTGGACTCTCACATAGTTGACATGGGTTCGAGTCCTGGACCCAGCGGCCTCAAACTCATGCTGGGCATGGGTGCATGCATGCCCAAGATCCCAAGAGAAGAATGGAGGAGAAGGGATTGAGGTGTGGCCACCCCCACTAGAGGGTGATTTCTTGTTCTCTGTCTCTCTCTCTCTCTGGTGAGCACATGTCCCCTATAGCAAAAATCTCTCTCTCTAAAAAAAAGAAGTGGGGCTGCTGGGTCTCCCTGTGGGCGGAGTCTCCACATCCTGGGTATTCTCCCAGCCTATGTGCAGGGGTTGAAGGGCCATGGCCAGGTTGGGGACTGGTGGGCAAGGAAGATGGAAACTTACTTTTTACTTTAGAAGCCCCTATACTGTTGAATTGTTTCCATAACTTAAAAAGTAAAAACCAGGCCATTTGGTGGCATGGTAGTCGAGGCAGCTAGATCTTACATGGCCAACTACGTGGGACCCAGTGACTTGAAAAACATGCTAAGTGCATGCTGCATGCATGCCCCAAATCCCAAAGGGTGGGTGGAATGGAGGAGAAGGGACTGCAATGAAGCCATCCCCGGCGAGGGGGTGCTTTCTCACTTTCCCATTCTGCCTCCCCCACACACAAGTGTGCATGACCTCTAGCAAATTAAGAGGAAAAACAAGTGAAAACCAAGAAGAAAACAAACTCAGCGCTGGGGACCAGCAGATGGCATAATGGCTATGTCGCTGGATTCCCATGTAGTCGAGTCCCGGACCCGGTGGCTTAAACTCACGCTGGGCATGTGTGCATGCGTGCCCAAGATCCCGAAAGGAGAATGGAGAAGGGATTGCGGTGTGGCCCTCCTCCCTGGGGGGTGATTTCTCGCTTTCTGTCTCTCTGTCTCTGTCTGGTGAGCACACATGCCCTATAGCAAAAACCTCTCAAAAAAAAAAAAAAAAAAAGAAAGAAAGAAAGAAAGAAAGCAGGCAGCAAAGCAATATATAGCCTAATCCCAATATTGCAAATTAAAAATTGTGTGTATTTAAAGAAAAGACAAATTGCATATAAAATGTGAAGAGATCATTTCTCTAAGTACTGAGATTTGACATCATTTTTACAACCTGTTTTTCTCTTTTTTTTTTTTTTGAGAGATTTTGCTATAGGGCGCGTGCACTGGCTGGAGAGACAGAAAGTGAGAAATCACCCCTCAGGGGGGATGGCCATGCCAGTCCCTTCTTCTCCATTCTCTCAGGATCTTGGGCATACACGTACATGTGCCCAGAGTGAGTTTTAAGCCACTGGGTCCAGGACTCGAACCATGGTTGACTACATGGGAGTCTGCAACATAACTATTTCACCATCTGCTGGTCCCAACCTGTCTTTTTCTTTACCTTAATTTCCTAAAAAACTTATTTTCTAACTGCTAAGTTTATTTTGCTTATTTGGGGGGAATAGGTTTCTTTTAATCATTGTAATCAAGAAGATCAGATGGCCCCGTCCTCACCCAGTGCCCTTCCTGGCCCCTCGGGTCGGAGTTGTGGGCTCCTCCAGCAGGTTTTGCAAGGGCTCACCAAGACCACCTTTCCCACCCCAGGCGCTGGCCGACTTCCCGGCCAGACCTGGGGATGACCTGTGCACTGCATACCTGTGGCCAATCTCATGGGCAATGGTGACGCCCAGGTCGAAGCCGGTGTCCTCAGTGATGAGGCAGCTCCAGGCGGGGGAGCAGGCACCTCCCAGCTGGGTGACCCCCCGAACCTGCCGGTTACCATCAGGCAGCTCCAGGTCAAACCTGGGCAAGAACAGTCACCTGGGTGTCTGGAGGGCTGGGCGCCGCGGGTCACCCTTGCAGAGGGCAGGCAGGCCGAGGGGCGGGTGGGCCTGCAGGCCATCAGGAGCCCAGCTACCTGGTGATGTAGAGCACCAGGTCGGCGTGTCCAGGGTCCGTGTCGTCTGCAGGGTTGACGGTCTGGCTCCACTCACAGACACGCAGCAGTGATGAGGTGATGTTGGCCGTGATGTTCGGAGCACCCTGGGGGTCAACGGCAGAGCCCGTGTTTAGGGAACCCGCATGCAGGGTGCTGCCAACAGCTGCGGCCACGTTTCTTAGTCAGTCCTCGTAAGAGTCCTATCACTAGCCCGGTACAGATGAGCACACTGAGGCCAGTGCGAGTACAGGGGTGGAGCTGGACTGGAGCGTCGCAGGGGCCCAGCTGTCTACGGCCGCCCACAGCGGGACTCACAGGGTCAGAGGCTCAGTGACTCTGGACTTCAAGACCACGTCGGGCACTGAAACCCGACCGGGAGCCTACCTTGGGCTCCGTCAGAGTGATCATCTTCACGAGGTGCAGCCGGAACTGAGCCCCCAGGGACGGGTCCCTCAGCAGTTCCGACCCCTGAAAGAGACGGCAGAGCTGACACATCATCCAGGGGTGCAGAAGGACAGTTTATACCCAAGTTCAACCCACTGAATTCAAACTACCAGAAAACCAGACTGCTGACACTTGGTCTGAAGCCCCGGGCATGGAAGCAGCGCGTCCAGAGATTCCTAGCACAGCCCAACGCCCCACCAGAGCCCTGGAGCCCTCCCTGTGCAGGCCAGCTCCGTCCGCAAAGCTCATCCTAGCTGGAGACTCACGATGTTGAGGTTGGTGAGCACGTAGCGCTCCGTGTCCTCCCCGTGAGCCTGGAAGACATCGGGGCCCACGGCCACCAGCAGCTCCAGATGCAGGATGCCCACTGCAGCCCGCCTTTGTCTCTGGAGGCCAAGAGGAAGATGGCCTGGAGAAGGGAGGGGACTCAGGGTGAAGGTTCTAGAAAACAAGTGCAAGGGAAGCTCTTGGGGAGGGCTGGTGAGTGGGGAGGATGTGGCTTTTCCAAGTCAAGACAGTGAATCCACCCTGCCCCAAGGGCCTGAATTACTCTAATGACTTGCGGAAGGGCAAGCCCAGGAGGGAGCTATGGCAGCTGGTGTCTGTCAGCGCACCCACCCAGGAAAGCCTCCCACTGCCCCTGGGGCTCTGCCCAGAGCCCTAAGCCCCTGTTCCACTGTCCGATCCTCCCTGTGGACACACACTGAAGGCCACAGTCATCCTGAAATGGCAAGCGAAGCCCAAGACGCCAACCCACCTGCACTCAGACTCGGCCTGCAGTGCAGGCGCCAGGCCTGGGAGGCACCACGTGGGCCTGGCTCAGCCACAGTCCACCCTGGGGCCCCCGGGTCTCTATCTGCAACACGGGGACTTTGGAAACTCCCATCCTGCCGATTCTGGCCGGGGTGGGGGACTCCAAAGGCATTGCCCAGGAATGTGCTTTGTAAACCAGGAGGAACAACTCAGAGGTGGCGGCCTACCAAGCAGAGTCAGGTGGGCTGGGGCCATGTGTTCCCCGGGGCTGTCCTGGAAGTTGGGCACCCGCTTGCCTGCATGTAACTCAGAGGCTTCCACCAGAGTTGGGGTGTCTTGCACAGCTTCCCAGCATCAGAGAGAGCTGGTCCCTCGCCCTGAGCTGTCCCTGATGGCAGCCTCACCTCCCACTCCCAGGAGTTGTACCTGGTAGGAACCATGGGGCCGTGGAGGCCAGCCTGTGGACCAGGTGGGGCTGGGCATGGCTCCAGTGAGGCACCAGCCCCTGGTGCTGCCTCCGCACCGGCTGGACGTACAGCCTGTGCACACCCACCAGGATGTCGCCCTCCTGGGAAAGAGAGGGCAGCCTGAGCACAGAACCCCCGGGACGGCCCCGGCCCTGCAGCAGAGGCTCCCTGGGCCCTCAGTTCTCCGTGCTGTGAGCACTCCCTGCCCGAACCCTGGTCCCTGCTCAGGCACGAGGGTTCACCAGATCTGAGACAAACTAGGGCTAGGTCACCAGACTGACCCTGAGTGGCATCTGTTCCAGGTGGGGCTGGGCCGCCTGACCCAGGAATCAGGGGGTGGCACCGTGCTTAAGAACACAGGCTCTGGGAACCAGCAGTTAGCGTAATGGCTATGTCGCTGGACTCCCACGTAGTCGACCGCGGTTCGCGTCCCGGACCCGGTGGCTTAAAACTCATGCCGGGCACATGTGCGTGCGTGCCCAAGATCCCGAGAGGAGAATGGAGGAGAAGGGATTGTGGCGTGACCATCCCCTCTGGGGGGTGATTTCTCGCTTTCTGCCTCT